AAAGAAAGCAAAACCCTTTGTACAAAAAAAAAAAAAAAATTATAGACCCCAGGAGTTTTTCCCCCCCTTTTTCCCCCCCCCCAAAGTGCAAAATCATTAGTAAACACCTCATTTAGAATATGCAGTTTAGTTTTTGCGCACCCAATTCACAAAGAGAGGACGTACAGAGAAGGGATCCAAAACTGATACGAAGGCATGGAGGAAACTCAGGCTATGAGTGAGAGATTTAGAGGAAATAGATTGTATTTCTCTTAATGAAGAAGAGGAGATGTTAAGGGGCGGGGACCTACCTGACCCCACATATATATATACATAAAGGGGGGGTTTGATCTCCATGTATGAATACATAAGGGTGGGATATGATCTCCATGTTATAATACATAAGGGGGGATATGATCGCCATGTATAATACATAAGGGGGGGTATGATCTCCATGTATAATGTCTTAAGGTGGGGTATGATTCTCCATGGATTAATTACATAAGGGTGGGGATATGATATCTCATATATTAATACATAAGGGGGATATGATCTCCACATATAATACATAAGGGGGGATATGATCTCCATGTATAATACATAAGGGGGGATATGATCTCCCATGTATAATTGCATAAGGGGGATATGATCACATGTATAATACTAAGGGGGGGATATGATCACCAAGTTTATAATACTTAAGGGGGGGGATATGATCTCCATTGTATAATACATAAGGGGGGATATGATCTCCATGTATAATACAATAAGGAGGGGATATGATCTCCATGTATAATACATAAGGGGGGATATGATCAACCATGTATTGAATACATAAGGGGGGATATGATTCCCTCCCCCCCCAATGTATAATACATTTAGGGGGGGATATGCATGATCCATGTATAATACATAAGGGGGGATATGATCTCCATGTATTATACATTAAGGGGGGATATGATCTCCATGTATAATACATAAGGGTTGGGATATGATCTCCATGTATAATACATAAGGGGGATATGATCTCCCATGATAATCACATAAGGGGGGGATATGAACCACATGTATAATACATAAGGGGGGATATGATCTCCATGTATAATACATAAGGGGGGGGGTGAATCGGTGGTATGATCACTCCATGTATAATACATATAAGGGGGATATGATCTCCATGTATAATACATAAGGGGGGATATGATCTCCATGTATATAACATAAGGGGGGGGGATATGATCTCCATGTATAATACATAAGGGGGGGATATGATCTCCATGTATAATACATAAGGGGGATATGATCACTATATGAGACCTATGACATCACATGGGTGTATGGACAGCAGAATAAAATCCAAGTGCTCCATCGAGTCTGTTTCCTTTTTTAAATGTATCCTTGTTTATTTATTTATTTGTTGGTAAGTATTTTGTCTGAGTCTAGATCTGTGTTTGCCCCAAGCAAATTGAAGGTAAATTGCATTGAAGTTGTCACAGACCTCTCATACCCAGATGTACAGATGTCCCAAGTTGTAGTGGAATGTATCTCCTGCAGGACGAGTGTGACCGGCCATGAGGAGAGTTCTGGTGCTGAAGGGGTTAAGATCCATTTTCCATTTTGCTGATGACACCCAGATCTATCTCTCCACTCCCCAGCTCACCCCCTCAATCTCCTCACGTATCACAAATCTACTGAGCGACAAATCAGCATGGATGTCACACCCACTACCGGAAACTCAATCTTTCAAAAACTGAGCTGTAAATATTACCTCCCCCCCCAATCCTCCACTCATGACTTTACCATTAAGATCAACAGCACAACCATTGGTCCTTCCCCTCATGCCAGGGTGCTGGGCGTAATCCTAGACTCTGACCTCTCCTTTGGGCACCACATCCACTCACTGGCTAAATCCTGCCGCTCCTCAACCTCCAGAACATTTCCAAAATCCGCCCCTTCCTGACCAATGACACCACAAAACAACTCATCCACGCCTTGGTTTTATCCCGCCTCAATTACTGCAACTCCCTCCTCACTGGTCTACCATTACACAGGCTATCCCCCCTTCAGTCTATTATGAATGCTGCTGCTAGACTCATACACCTTACCAACCGATCAGCGACTGCTGCCCCTCTCTTCCAATCCCTTCACTGGCCTCCACTCAGTGTCCTCCACCCCTCTCTGCCAATCCCTCCACTGGCCTCCATTCAGTGTCCTCCACCCCTCTCTGCCAATCCCTCCACTGGCCTCCATTCTCAACTGTGTCCTCCACCCCTCTCTGCCAATCCCTCCACTGGCCTCCATTCAGTGTCCTCCACCCCTCTCTGCCAATCCCTTCACTGGCCTCCGCTCAGTGTCCTCCACCCCTCTCTGCCAATCCCTCCACTGGCCTCCATTCAGTGTCCTCCACCCCTCTCTGCCAATCCCTCCACTGGCCTCCACTCAGTGTCCTCCACCCCTCTCTGCCAATCCCTCCACTGGCCTCCACTCAGTGTCCTCCACCCCTCTCTGCCAATCCCTCCACTGGCCTCCACTCAGTGTCCTCCACCCCTCTCTGCCAATCCCTCCACTGGCCTCCACTCAGTGTCCTCCACCCCTCTCTGCCAATCCCTCCACTGTCCTCCACTCAGTGTCCTCCACCCTCTCTGCCAATCCCTCCACTAACCTCCTCAGTGTCCTCCACCCCTCTCTGCCAATCCCTCCACTAACCTCCACTCAGTGTCCTCCACCCCTCTCTGCTCTGCCAATCCTCCACTGGCTCCATTCAGTGTCCTCCACCCCTCTCTGCCAATCCCTCCACTGGCCTCCACTCAGTGTCCTCCACCCTCTCTGCCAATCCCTCCACTGGCCTCCACATCAGTGTCCTCCACCCCTCTCTGCCAATCCCTCCACTGACCTCCACTCAGTGTCCTCCACCCTCTCTGCCAATCCCTCCACTGGCCTCCATTCTAGTGTCCTCCACCCCTCTCTGCCAATCCCTCCACTGGCCTCCACTCAGTGTCCTCCACCCCTCTCTGCCAATTTCCCCCACTGGCCTCCACTCAGTGTCCTCCACCCCTCTCTGCCAATCCCTCCACTGGCCTCCACTCAGTGTCCTCCACCCCTCTCTGCCAATCCCTCCACTGGCCTCCATTCAGTGTCCTCCACCCCTCTCTGCCAATCCCTCCACTGGCCTCCTCTCAGTGTCCTCCACCCCTCTCTGCCAATCCCTCCACTGGCCTCCATTCAGTGTCCTCCACCCTCTCTGCCAAACTCCACTGGCTTCCGCTCAGTGTCCTCCACCCCTCTCTGCCAATCCCTCCACTGGCCTCCTCTCAGTGTCCTCCACCCCTCTCTGCCAATCCCTCCTGGCCTCACTCAGGTCCTCCATCCCTCTCAGCCAATCCCTCCACTGTCCTCTCAGTGTCCTTCAACCCCTCTCTGCCAATCCCTCCACTGGCCTCCACTCAGTGTCCTCCATCCTCTCTGCCAATCCCTCCACTGGCTTCCATTCAGTGTCCTCCAACCCTCTCTGCCAATCCCCCACTTCCACTCAGTGACCTCCATTCAGTGCCAATTCTTCTGAATCACCTCCACGAGATCATCCCCCGCAGCTATCACCTTTTGTATCACCTCCCCCTTCCTTTAGATTGTAAACTCCATGAGCCGGAGCCTCCTATTCCTTCTGTACTGAAATGTATTGTAATTGTATTGTCTCCCGTTATATTGTAAAAAAGCTCTGTGCAAACTGTTGGCGCCATAAATCCTGTATAATAATAATCATAATTTTAGCACGTCCACTATGGGGCGCCTGGTTGTGCCGTGCCCCCCCATACTAGGATCAGTAATGACAATTCCTGGGATGTCATGCGTCTCATGTGATGTATTGGAGGTCCTGGGTCCTCTACATGGATCTTTAGTTGGACCTCATTTAGAATACTGTGTCCAGTTCTGGAGATCTCACTTCCATAAAGATATTGATGAGACAGAACGAGTCCAGAGACGGGGAACACAAATGGTGAAAGGTCTGAGGGATCAAACATATCAGGAGAGACTGCAGGAACTTCATATGTACAGTCTGGAGGAAAGAAGGGAAAGGATGGACATGACCAAAACCTTTCAATACAACAAGAGGGGGAATAAGGTTCTGGAGGGCAGGATGTTCAGTATGAAGCCAAGATGAAGAACACGGGACATGACCTCCAACTGACTGGAGGAAAGTTCCCAACTCATCTTAGAAAGTCATATTTTCCTGAAAGGGTAGTTGATGGTTGGAATAGACCTCCAGCAGAGGTAGTGAGTCAGTCAGCAGTAAGTGGCTTCAGACATGCTTGGGGCAAACATGGATCTCAACATATAATATGTGTCAGACAATTGAAAAAAGAGCACTTGATGTATTGGACTTTTTCTGCTTTCACTTATCTTTGTTTTTATTTCTTTTGTCTCATATGATGTCATATCTCATGTGATGTCAGGGGTCTCGTGATGTCATGGTTCTCATGGATGTCATTGTGTTGGTGATGTCATGGGCTCATGTGATGTCAGAATTGTCACTTGTGATGGTCATGAATTCAAACCATGCATGGAGAGTCCAGAATGTGATGGTGCATGCATCTGCATGTGATGTCAGGGGTCAGCTTATGATGTAATGTGTATCAGGTAATGTAAATTGTTTTGTATTCCTAAACCTGGAGAGTCCAGAATCTGGTGCAGCTCTGTAGAAACCAATCAGCTTCCAGGTTGATCCTGTCAAAGCTTCATTGAAGCTGAAGGTAGAAGCTGATTGGCTCCCATGCACAGCTGCAGCAGATTTTGCACTCTCCAGTGTTAGGAAATCTCCCCCTTTGTGGTGTAGAAATGACTTTGAGGATAGTCCTCTTTTGCCCCCTTGCTGTTTGTGGTGAGTGGTGACATCCCAGCAGAGTGACGATGGACGACCCATGCTCAGTCACAGCGGATCCACATTTCATTCATTCTCTGTAATGAGCGGTTCTGGAACAATTGTCAGTCCAGGGAGCAGTGGGCGGAGTGATCCCTCCCTCCTGACTGGCTCCACCCTCAGCAGACCTCCTATATAAGAAGAAGTAGAAGAGCAGCTGATCACAAGTGTCTCTGATAAGGAAGCAGGATGGCAGATACTGTGAGTATGAGCACTGGTGGAAGCTGCAAGAGCTGAGCAAATGGCTTCTGTGGGGGATGGTGGGTGTGGTGGGTAGTGGTGAGTGTATTGGTTTGCTTGGTGTGGACACAAGTTGGTGTCGGGCTGGTTTGATGTTGGTGGTGGAGAGTATATGTATGAGCACTGGTGGAAGCTGCAAGAGCTGAGCAAATGGCTTCTGTAGGTAGTGGTGGGTGTAGTGGTTGTTATAGGTTTGCTTGGGGTGGACATGGGTTGGTGTTGGGTTGTTGGGTGTAGGAAGTTGTAGGTATATTTCTGGTTGTCTCTGTACCATTGAGGAATATGGATCATGCTGAGATAGGGTTGCTTGATGTGGGCAGTTGGTGGGTGTGGGTCAGTATTTTAGTTCTTGTACATCCATTTATGTAGGGTGTGATGTATGTGTTTTGGTGTTCTGGCACAGAGTTGGGCCTGCCTTCCTGTGTATTCTTAGTATTGGGTATATACTGGGATTCCCCCCCCCCCCCCCCCCCCCCCCCCATATGTGCCATGATTATGTTCACTACTAGTGGGAGCTGCAAAGGTGAACAAATGTGGTGTTTGGTTGATATAGGTTTGCTTGGGGTGGACATATTTTGGTGTGGGGAATATAGTTTCTGGTTCTAGTTGGTGTACCATTGAGAAATGTGGATTATGGTGAGTATAGGGTGGCTTGATGTGGGGTTGTTGGGTGTGGATTTGTGTTTGTTTCAGTTTAGGTTATAATGCATGTATTTTGGTCTTCTGGCACAGAGCTGGGCCGTCTTAATATTTGGTATATACTGGTATGGCTCACACTCCCCCTCCTCCACACTTGCCCATAGTGGCTCATTATATCCATGCCTTCCCCTCTGTGATTTATACTAATGTGCAGTGTTATAAACGGTCCGGTTCTGAGATGTGACATGTCCATCCGCTCTGGGTTAAAGAGAAAATGTATATATTGTCATGTCATTGATGTGTTATTAGACATTTTGTGATCTGCTGGGGATGTCTGAGCTCCTCCACTCTCCCACAAAGTGCTGCCACCCACAGAAATCCCAAACTTATTCTGAGTGCAACCATCAGATGTCTCTCCTGTCTATAAATGGTGTAATAATCCCCCCCCCCCCCCCCATTATACAGGGAGTAATAATTCTCTAATTTCTCCCATACAGACTTTTACCTTTTATAACCTCGGCCTCAAACTTGGTCACTCGGTGGAGGTGAAGGGCTTCATTCCAGAAGACTGTGAAGTGTAAGTCACGGTTCCATCCTCAGCTACTTATTATACAATAGATGTCTGCTCTCTGTATAATTTGCCTAAAGTTTACCTTGCAGAAGCAGGAAAGTGTTCCGTGTACAGTACATCCTACTGACCCCTACACGCTGGGAATTCGGCATGCGTGGTCCCTCAAATGCCTGACATTGTGTTGCTCACAGCAAACTTAGCTTAAATGTTTGTGTCTACATTGACACAATTTCACCATATGAGATGCCAGCTGACTTCTATCTCTCTCCTCCTGGACCTCACCAAACTGTATAGCTGCAGGCACTGTGGAGGAATTTTTCCTCAATCTACAGTAAAGCGCTTCATCGCTACTAAATTACCTAGTTAGAGGTCCAATGGTAAGAGGGAGTGAAAGGGCACAAAGTAGTAGTGACTTCTCAGCTCCCCCTCCTAGCAGTGACACCTTAGCCCCGTTCACCCTTCTCTCCCTCCCACAACAGTGACCCAACAGCTCAGATCATGCATCCCTTCTCCCTGTCTATTTGGATTGAACACGGTCATTCAAGTCTGATCTCAACCTCTCTGCACGCCCATCCCAACACACACGTTCCTGCTTTAAAAATGGCTGTGTATAAGTGACCGTTGGGCTGGAACCGAACACATGCCTGATGAAGGGTGACTGCAAGACTCCAATATGTTGCCACACTGTAACTATGTAATCATCCATTAAAATGTTTGGACCCATATTGGTGATCCTTGGTGTGCTGGTGACATCCTCCCAGACTTGAATGACTTTACTGTTTTTCTCTTGTGAACTTTCAGGAGAAATTCTCCACAGTGGCTGCAACTACAAATGTCAGTGAGGGATTCTCTCAGTCTCAGAGCTTAGTTATTTTCTTTTTTTTTTTTTTTTTTAAGAATATGTAGAAAAGTCTGTCCATATCCAGGCTACAGGTTCACTTTAGGTACTCTTGGCATAGAGTATTACCAGGACCCCATGTCTTTCAAGCAAACTGTCGGTTTTAGTCTCCA